GCAGCAGGGGGGCAGCCCCGGTGGTCTGTCTGTGGTGCTGGGGACCACCCCAGGCCAACGGGAAGGAGCCAACACGAGGCCCGGCCCCAGCTCAGGTCCTCGCGCTGCTCCCAGCGCAGCCCCAGCCCGCTCCCAGCTCGCTTTTCTCTGCTGACCGTTTTCTAACGCCTGGCTGCATGCAGCCCCAGCCGCTGCAGGGGCAGGAGAAGGAATGTGTAATGCTATATTAATCTGCAGCTCCCCCGATGCATCCTGTGGGCCTGGAGGCTTTACCGCCTCGTGCTTAAGGAGAAAGGAATTCAGCAGGTCAGCTCTTTGAGAGGCAGAAATAAATTCCAATTTCGAGGTGTTAATGGGGAAAAATACTGAAAGGGCTCGTTCTTATTAGTGCCCAGAGAAAAGGGGGGACGCCGCTGGGTTCTCACCCTCACTGAACCCTCAGGATGCACACCCCGAAGGGGCTCCAGGAGCCGCTGCTCACGACAGCGCACACAAACTGCAGCAGAGGAAGGACCCGGCATGGGGACGGGGGCTGAACGACGGCCGTCACCCCCGGGCACTGCAGGGCAGCAGGTCCAGCCCTGCCGATCACAGGGGGCACCGGTCACCGCACCTTGGAGGTTTTGCAGCAATAAACGCTGCTTGTCCCCTCGCAGAGCAGCGCCCCAGCCCAATGACGGGCACAGGAGCTCAGCCCAGCGCCGCCAGAGCCGCTGGGGCTCAGCTGCAGCACGGGCCAGGGTTTCTCCTGAAACACTTTCAAAAACCCGGGGGATTTGCAGACGCCTGCTTACACTTTTCCACTGAATGCAGAAGAGAGTTCACATTGGCACAATAATCTTAAAGACTTACTTTCTGTAAACATCCTTGCGAACAAATTGCTCATTTAAAAGTGCTTGGGACATAAGTTTTGCAAAGCCATTTAGCTGACAGTGGTTTGTCTGAGTGGCTGCAATACTTCCCTGCAATACTCGCCCAGCTCCAATCTGTATTTCACCAGAAGAAAAAGTCAATGCACCCAAAGCTTGTGCAGAATGAGGCCCCTCTGCACGCCAAACAGGACCAGCAATAGCTCCACAAAGGACTCAGACTCGAGCTGGTGCAGTTCCTTCTAACAAAGTCACTTTAGCGACGGCTGCGAAGGACACGGTGCCCAAACTCTGCACTGATGGGCACCAGGAGACAGCGGCAATGTCCCCCCAGTGCTGCTGTCAGGACAGTGCTGAGGTGATCAGGAGTTAACTGATACACCACACACAGGAAAAATTAGCAGATGCTGCTCCCTTGGGCCAGTAACATCTCCAAATGAATGACCTGCGAACAGCCCGGTCTCATTTCAGGCTGGGGAAGGGGCAGCTCTGCAGCAGCAGCTCAGACCAGGAGCACGCTTGGCTGCAAGTCTCCGGGGAATCAAAGCAACCTTTGTACCCGCAACCCGGGACACGGCCGCGGTCTTGACCAAGGGTCTATGTTCACACAGGACGGTGATTTTAGAGCCTTCCTGGAAAACAAAGAGCTTCCTCCAGCAATTGCATGGGTGAGCACAAGCCGCAGCCAGCCTGTGCTGCCGTGGGCTCCGCACGGGGAGAGGCTGCGTCCCTGGGAGCGAGAGCAGCCAAGACTCATCCCTGGCGTGGGTCCAGGCTTTCCACCCGTCTGTCCCTGGATGCCACCACCGAGTTTCCCCGCACGGCACCGGCGGGCGTCGAGCTCCGGCGTCCTCCCACCCTGCCCGAGCAGCTGCCCCGTCCCGCTCAAGCCATCGCCCTCGTTTCCCCTGCACTGGCTGCTGGGGACACCCCGGGTGTCACCGCTCTGCTGCAGGACGTGCTCCCTCCCTGCCCGCAGCCTCCCTGAAGGATGAGTCCTGCTGGGATGTGCAGGATGAGCTGCCCTGGGCGAGGGCTCCCAGCCAAGCGGGACACAAAGCCTTTGTCTGTAAAGGTAACTGCAAAGGGTGACCTGCCCTCCGGACCAGACCTGGACACAGCACCAATGCCACGGCAACGGCTCAGCCCTGCGTGTGGCTCCCCCATCCCCGAGCTCCTCCTGAGAGCCTGTGCTATCCCCATGAATTCGGGAGCGCCCGTCCCTTTCCATGAACCTCCAGACGCAGGGAAGCGTTGCACTCTTCCATAGCCCTCTGCCTTCTCCCTCTGCAGACATCCCTCCTGCCAGCCTCCCTAAGCGCTCCATGCCGAATGCCGAAGCGACACAAAGATACCTATTTATTTCAAAAGTTTTCAGCAACAAGCCAGACTCATTGCAACTTGCACAAAAAAAGCCAGTCTGGCACCAAACAGACCTGCTGCACGAAATGGAAATGAACAAGAACCACATCCCCGTCCCCCAGTCATTTCCTGATCAATCCCTTGCCCCCTCGCCCGCACGCAGCCCACTCGGGACAGCAGGGATGGATTTCCACTGGAAATTTTCCCCAGGACTGCTGGGCATGCGGGGTAGCCCTGCCAGGGCTGCTGTCACCATTCACCTCAGTCGGGCAGCGCTTTCTGCTGCGGGGTCCACATGTCCAATTGCTGCCAAGAACCAAAGCCAGGCTCAGCGCAGAAATTGCTGCCAGGGTGGTGCGGTACCGGGGAGGGAGGGTGGCAGCCCTGGTCCATCAGCGGCCCCAGTGCCTGTGTGGGGATCAGCGCAGCCACAGACTCCATGCCCTGGCACCATCTGCTCCCAGACTCAGCTCCGGGATAGAGGTGAGGAACTGGCAGGGGGCCCTGCCCTCCTTGGGACGGGAGCACCCGCTCAGAGGCTGGGGAGCACCGCAGCCGACAGGCAGAGTTCAGGTGAGCTGCTCCTGACCTCCTTCAGCCACACAGCCCCTCCTGGGCTAACGCCGGCCACACTGGCTCAGAGAAAAGCTCCAGGAGCAGAGCCACAGTGACGGTCACATCTTACCTTTGGGCTTGGAGACCTCGGTGGCGTTGGGGGCCGTCATGGCGATGCAGACATCGTCCTGGGGAAACTGGTCGCACTTGCGCACGGCCTCACAGAGCCAGCGGCAGGGGTAGACCGGCCGGTCCAGGCAGACGGGCGCAAAGAGGGAGCAGAGGAAGACCTGGGTGCCCATGTGGCAGTTCTTGTTGAGCAGCGGCACCCAGCTGCTGGCCTGGTGCTTCACCTCGGCCATGGTCTCATGGTCGAGCAGGTTGGGCAGCACCATCTTGTCATAGCCCACGCTGTGGCACAGCCGCAGGTCGGCGGGGATGGCCACGCACTGGTGGGGCTTGGCGTAGAAGCGCCCGCCGGGGTAGGGGCCCAGGTCGGACTGGTAGCTGACGTAGTCGT